AGTAGAAGCAAGAATGTAATCATAATTTCCAGCCGAGAATTTTCCTGGTCACAGCCTGCTTTCGTTATCGATGACATTTCTCACCCTCACCGCATAATCGCTAGACCCTCGCTGTACTCTTGAAAGCGTCTTTTTCTTCCTTTTGTTACCCTCTTTTCTTGTTTATCTTTTACTGATTACTTAGTGATGACAAAAGGATAGTGAGATGACCCCTGAGTGTTTGCTGCTAATTTAGGTCATATTGCACTTAAATGTGAAGTGACACCATCTCGCACTTATTTATGAGGTGACTTCGCTGCCAAAGTTCTTACACCTTTTGGAAGGAGAACATAGGGCCCAGACTAGGAAAAAGTAAAGTTCTAGTCAGATCAAGATATAATTTAGAAGTAATTTTCTGAGAAATCAAATCGTACACATTACAACAGGTAGAAATGTTTGTTGAAAAGGTAGTCTCCTCATCAAACTCGTCGCGCTCTGATGCTGGAAACCGCCACGAGAAAACGCTTACATGTGATTGAGACAGCCGAAATCCCCATTTAATTTAGTCGCTGTAGTCAGCAGATTCAGCGCTATTTTCTCCTGCTAAAACGAAACATTCCTTGAGATTAAAGATTGTGCCACAACACAAAATTTGAGTTTTTCCAGATTGCCGGAATGCTCTTCTTCAAAGCTTGCTGAGCTGATTTTAGTGGTGCACTGAACCAAAAGACAAGTTGACTTTGAAACGACTTATAACAAGCAGGAAGATTGCGATTCCGTGACTTCATGCAATTTTTTAATTTCTGTCAACAGCTGTTCTCGCGCGCGCATTCTAAAAGCTATCGCTAATCCGTCTTCTGCGAGACGTGGCTAGTGAGCTATTGAGAAGGTAGATCGTGACTGCACGTTGAAAGTCCGCAAGATCGATCCCTACAAAAGCAGAAACCGGGAGTTAGGAGTAAGAGTCGTATGATTTGTAACAGTAGCCATTTGCAAACGACTTCAACCACTTTCTCAAATAAGGGCACTCAATACAAGTTGTTCCGTATTTAGAAAGGTGTGTAAGCGCAAAATTATCCTTCTCCGATGTACTATTAAGGTTATTCAGTAGTGCGGAGAGCATGATCTTCGCTCTGCCACGCGTAGCTGAGGTCCTTTTTAAGGCATCTCCCGACGCACAATATACGAGGTCGCCTGCTTACGATGCCTGCGATGGACTGCTCCTGCGCATATTTTCCTTCTCCTTCCTCACGACGATTGTGCGACTATGAATTAATACACAAATACCTACGATGTTAGAGGATCTGCAATACCAGCGGATCATGCCAGCAGGGTCATTAATAATAAAGCAAATACAAATGAAATTAGATTTTTCTTCACATAACAAAGAGAAGAAAAAGTTAGAAGACATACGGGCTCCTGCGTCTCTCGTTGCCATCGGGGAAGAAGAATGCGACGGTGTTCGCGGACGTATGCCACGCAGGGACCGTGCGCCTCCGTGGCCCCAGCTCCCTCGCTGTCCTTGCAATCCGATCTGCACCTCGGAACTGCTTCCTTTGCCCCTTCTCTCTTTGACAGTGCGTTGAAATTAGTGCCGGAGTGTTGATATCCCACTAACTGCCGAGGCCCGACGACAATGAATACTGCTGACGGAGACTGCGAAGATGACACTGAGCTAGAAGATACAACGACCGAGTGATACGACTGAATAATGAAGGGACTGGCTGCACACTCCACGCCACGGCGCTCAATGCCACGTGGCAATCGGTGCAAAGCGGCGTGCAGTTGAAAGGGTGGAACGGTACTGCGCGTCAGCTACTGTGTGGACGGTGCAATGGGCGTCACGGCAGCTGCAAAGGTACTTCTAAAACGCGAAGGGGATGGGGGTGACTTAAGGCGTAGCTACGGAAAAGAGGTAGCAGTTGAGGAGTGAGGAACTTCAAGAATATAAAGGAACAGCAGAACGAAATACACAAGCACTTGTATAGGGAGTAGAACTGAACAGGCCTTACACGGCACGGGCTTTCGCTGACAAGAGTTTTCCGATTCCTGGTCACCCCATAAGCGTGAAGTGAGCAGCGTCTAATCTATCTGAGGCGGTCAAGTGTAGCCTTTGACTGATCCGACGTGAGGTGCCGGCCGCGTCTCTACCAAAGAGTGATATTATTGATTTCTGTACAAACTGTAAATTTTTAAACGCTACATCGTGCTAGCTTTTTCCGCCGATTACAATTTGCTGAAGTACTGGTTCAGTGTCTTCATCCGGAAAACGAAAATAGTTCTGAATAACTCATAATCATTTGTAGGAGGATTTGACTGGAGCTGCAATGGGTTTACTGAGACTTCAAGACACTTACCGTCTGGACACAAAAGACCTCGCAGACGGTCGCATTTTCAAGGTGCAAGGCAACTTTTCATTCAACGGTGAGCAATATTGAATCATAATACGATTTCTTTTAATAAAGTTTACCCGTAATGAACACCGCTGGGAACTGAGGGAAGCTTCAATGGTCAATTCACGTAGATCTCCGCTACATGAGCCCTTCACCTCTTGCCTAGCCCCTTTTCTCTCTTTTACTCGGATCCTTGAATTTTTTAAGGTGCTGACGCAAATGTTTGATCTTAGCTTCGCCCTCTTTGGCTCACACCAACTGCCATAAGCATTTGCCTTTTCCTTCTTTGTAATGCCCGGACCTTCTTCTGCAGGCTCTAACATGAGCATAGTTACTAATTGTTGCTAGGCACACGTAGGATTCGGCACATTTATGCTATTACTTTCTGACCTTCAGGCAATGGAAGAATCGAGTTAGGAGTTCATAAATGAGTAACTGTTTCTTTCTGGAATGCTTCGCGCAGCGAAAAGATCCCCTTCGTTTTACTTGTAAGCCTATTGATATCTTTAACAGATTATTTTTAGGTGTTTAAGTTGTTCTTCAACTGCATTAAGATACTGTGCCTTTGGCACCGCCCATCTCGAAGCTGCTTCGAGATGGGCGGTGCCAAAGGCACAGTATCTTAGAGACTAAGCAAATGAATTCCGTGATAGACAGACAGACAGACAGACAGACAGACAGACAGACAGACAGACACACAGACAGACAAACAGACAGACAACCAGACAGACAGACAAACAGACAGACAGCCAGACAGATAGGCAGACAAACACAGGGGCAGACCGAGGATCTGTCGGACTCACAGGTGGACAACAGATAAACAAACAAACAAACAGGCACAAAGGCAGGCAAAAAACAAGCAGCTAGAAGAAATAAACGAACGAGCAGTCTTGCACCTCTTCCAATTCTGACGCTCTGGTCCAGGTGCACAGCAGTTATTGGTTTTCGGTCAAAGGCATCTCTCATAGTCCACGATTTTGCGAGCGAGTGCTTGAAGGTGCAAATCCAGCTGTGCTTTTCCTAGTGTATCCTCTTCCTTAACATGAAGACTTCATCGAAAAAGGGAAACCTTCTAGTGGTGATGAGGCAACCGCCAAGTATGACAACAATTTTTTTTTGGTCATTGTTTACGCTACCTTTGAGCCTTAGATTTATAGAAGTCTATTCATACTGAACAACCCAAGAGATTGATGTTCCAGCCGGAGATTGCTTCGAGATTGGCAAAGCAGCCTATAATGATGGTGATTTCTACCATACATTAATGTGGATGGAAGAGGCAAAGAGGCGACTCGCTCAAGAGCCGGTACCAACTGCAAACCTTGGACAGGTACTTGGTTTTAGCTACGGTGATCTCTTTCCGCTAAAGAACGATTTCAATCTAGATTCTCGAATATCTCGCCTACTCGCTGTTCAAACAAGGAAACCCAAAGCATGCATTGCAACTTTCCGAAGAGCTCGACAGGCTCGGTTAGTTTCCATCTCATATTTTTACATTAGAGCATAAAGGATAAAAAGATTGATTCTTGGGGCGCTAGTCTATCCCTTCCGATGGATGCCCCCGCATTCGACTTTCATTCAAAATCGTAGTGGCGTATTGAATCGGTTTGTGGCCTACACAACAAATTGCGGCAGCCAGCTGATGTATAAGTCAGTGCTTTTATCTTTCGAGGCGAGTCTCACACCGATTAACCGACTCCGAAGGGACGGAAGCCTTGGTTGGCCTAGGCGGATATCGGTCCTATATTCGAACCCTCGCCGTTCTTAGGACTTGATCCGAGTTTGTGACAGTAATAGCGTCGGTATTCATGAT